CTAATCCATCTGTTTCCCCCTCTCTACGTTTGCTATTGAATTTCTATTTAATGGACCGCTATACCGGTAGTATATAGTATAGTTATTATACATTATCTCATTGAGGGGTATTACTTCATTTTCACATACATCAATTTCAACAGTTCATATCTAGCGGTGAAAGTAAACTGGAAATGGTAACAATAGATCTTCCTTATAACCATCGCCTGTTTAACATGCTGCGTTAGCTTACACAATTCCTTATTGCCAGTGGCAAATCATCGATGCTCGTTTGATATCTAATACCATTATAAATCAGACAATTTCTGTAATAAAACTTTCAACTTAATAATAATAATAATAGTAATAATAATAATAACTATTATTATTATTATGATGATGATGATGATGATGATGATGAGTAAAACTTCTAAATGCCACTCTGAATGTGGATGTTTTCAGGTCAATACATTAAACTTCAAATAAAATTAAATACTGTACATTAAATCGCTAGAAATGAGAAAACATTTCAAGATAAAAAATATTTATCAAAATTTTCAGATAGTAAGCCTAAGCACTGGTGCGAGTCAGATAAGCTAAGCTTTACTGAAACGTCTTTCGATTAGGCAGACATCAAAGGTGCTGCATTGCAAATTGCATATTGTTTCTGACCGTTTCTGAATGAGACGAGCAGAATAAGATGCAGAGTATCGTAGTCCCATTAATGAAGTCCCCATACTAATCAATAGAATTAATCAGATGAAAGGCAATCAGATAGACAGCAACAAAGCCTTGCGCTCGCTTTTCTTTTTCATTCTTGGCAGGGACCATTATGACTCTTGGCAGTTTGAGCAATGATGGAGCCTGAATTTGCCGAATTTGTAACTAAACTGCACTGAAGGGGTGGGGGGAGGAGAAGGAAGTGGGAGTAGAAACACGTCTTTACCTCTCTTTGCCGGTGTGACAGGAATGGTAGTCCTCCAGGAACCGAAGTCCGTTCCCCATTACTATATACTATATACTGGTGGCATTCAACCCATATACTAACCCCAATTCTCTGACTAGCCCTAACCTGTACTAATCATAAGGGAACCTGGACTTCCATTTCTAGAACTACCATTCCTGTTACACTGGGCCTCAAAAAACCTTAGAATAGTTGTCAGCATATTGGTTATTGCACAAAAAACTTCTATTATAAAGAAGGAATCTTTGTATGCCATTATACTCAGCGTTATCTTTTCACAAAACAAACTGCAATTACATCTTTAATACTGGGGACTTTAACTCATCGTAAACTGTAATTGAATTTATGGCTACATGCAGCCTTTAAACCCACAACAGAAACAGTTATCAGATAAACTAATGCGCATTTGCCAGCGTAGCCGGTAAATAATGGCTGTATCCATAAGTATTGTCAGTTGGGAACCCCTCATGAGGCTTCAGATTGCATAATCTCTCTGGCAGTGGTTTACGGTCAATCCAGACGCTTTAGCTAAGAGCAGTATGCTATATACTGATATCTCATATCACTTTAGTTACACAGACGGTGGTATTCGCAAAAAAAGTCAAAAACTTACACAACAAGTAACCCTGTAAATACATGTATACATGTTTGCCCGTCTTTTGGCTGATACAAGCTGTTTTTTCAATTAAAAGACCGTTTTCCTCTTTTCAGAAAGAAAAACATTGCTTTTGACATTGGCATTGCTTGCTGAAACACTACCTTCGAATTCCCCATCCATGAATAGAAATGCTATGGAATTTGGTAGCCCTAGCCAAACAGTGAAAGTAAGTGCTGTAAAACCCAATATGGCGCCCATCCGCCTATGGGCAATGTAATTAAACTCACAAGAACACATTTCTCTTGAGGCCCCTTAGAGAAATAAACGTTTACCCACGAGGCCCCGCCAGCGAGGTATTACATAACATGTTCCTCAGAAATGGTTGGAAGCGAAGAAATGATGAGACAATTTGCAGTATGAAAGATCAATAGAAATGAATACCTGCTTGGAACAATAAATCATTTCTGTTTCTTTATCTTGGCGTGTCATCTGATAGCCCGGTATCAATCTATCTGAGGCGTTTTTACTGTTAGCTACGAACTTGATCTCAGACAATTTGTGGCCGGCAAATAGGCAATCACAAATATAAAACAATCCACATTACCATCAAAACTTATATTTTCAACTTAACATTACAAGTCTTTGGAACACTTCATACCCAAAAAGTTTAAAATAAGATGAAAAGAATGTACGGAGCTTTGTTAGTATCATATTAACTTTTTTTTTATTTTCATTTAAGTTTTATTTTATGAAGAGGTTCTGCAACGGTTTTGCACATTGGGTATACAACACTGATGAACATGGTCCTAAATTCACTGGTATTTGATGTGAAAGTTATGGAGCGCCACTGGGTCTGGTACGTTTGAAGTAAAATAATTGTCTTATTCGTGTCTATTATCAAACATAATAATAATGTCAATAAAAAGCTTAAATGGTATTTATGACATTATAATGGTATTATTTTAAGCTCTTCCATGCTTAATGTAGTTTAAAAGAGGATATCCATCTACGCGTGACTCAAAGGAACATACATAAAGCCCAGAATCGTCAAATAAACTGTCTCAAAAAGTATATTCATGAATAGCGATTGCAAGCTACAAACATCAAAGAAACACAGACAAACAGAAACTTGAAAGTTCTAATGCGTAGAATCCATGTGAATGATTGAAGCAGGCAACCATATGATTTGATGGTATTTCTATTTTGCCATATTTCATCGTGTGTCTATTGTTACAAATTAGATATATCTTTGACATATTTACGTCCATGTTATTATGCGTTATCGCTCTGGTTCTACCGAGTGTTCAGTCAAGTTCGTAAAAAATTTGCGGAAATGAAAAGGTATATGTTTTCAATTAATCCTCACACGGGTTTACAATAGAAGCTTTTCCATCTGCAACTTTCAAAGAACGCTGGCCTTCCCAGAAAAGCGCTGACGTGTTTCTTGGACATCGATTCCATCTTAAAGAAAACCTGTCCTCATTTCAAATGTAACCAAGACCATCATAGTCCATACTCAACTGCTGAACCCAGCAACGACAAAAAAGCACTCTAGTTGTTGCTGTTACTAGTTGATACTTTTGAATGAATTAATCGAACGTCCATTTTATCAGTGACTACGTGACATGGACAATGGACGATGTTCAAAACAAATCGATTATATACCGTTTAAATTGGCAATTGTCTCATTATCAGTACGTGCATTATTATATATCTATTTACCAATTCGTATGCCTCTTTTATTAACGCGAAATGCCCTGAGGTACGTGTACTTATGGCCTGCGTCATTCGGTGCTTTTTGGCCAAGTTGGGTCAAGTTGAAGGGAAAAGAGGCGAATTTGTGTGCCAAATATAAACTTTTCTTGTGGTTGATAGATAATACACAATGAATTAGACTGTATACTACGTTAAACATAGTTCACCTAGGTAAAAAAAAAACCCAGTTAAATCCGAGATCGTGCAAGTGGATTTACTGGTATATGGTCGAAAAATGACCATTAATCGATTTGGACAACGCGATTGCACACACCGTTTTCAATGAGTGACTTCGCCGCTATGCTTTATAGTGCAGTTTCGGATATCGCGTGTTGCTGTTAGCTCGCTGAATGCAGTTTTCACTAAAAACGATAAATGTGTTATTTTCAGCAACCGGTATAATGATACTTAGACCATCCGCTTCCCAGATAATTGATTTAATTCAATAACAACAGAAAACGCAATATAGCCTGCTTGACAGTGTTCCATTGTCAGAATATGAAAAAACGTACTGAAATGTCACCAGTCACTTCAAGGACATCTTACGAGTGCAGTGAAAAGAGTGATGCAATTTTAATGTAAAATTCTAGGGCTTCTGATGCTGTATATTTTGACAAATCGATGTTGCTACGTAATTTTCATCAATCAAAACATGATTAGCAAACGTCTCAGTTCTTCTCGGGCTTACAAACATCGCTAAATGCAGTATGCCTATGCATATACCACACACTGACGCAGCTGTTGACGCCACTACATAATCTTTTAGTATTGAAATACCTTTTTTAATCATACTTAATATTGTGCACTAAAATGTGTACAAATTATATTTTACAGTCTCTCTAGGTTATTATTTTATACATGTATCTTTATAGTAGTGAACAAAATAGGTAGGGGGGCTTGGAAATAGCAGAGGATAATACGGCTGTTAACCAGTGTTTGGTATTTCATTTCTTAATACCTTCAGTTATATATACGTGTGTGGCTCTAAAGCATGATTCACTTTTTGCACTGAGCAGCCAGTTAATAAATGCAATAATATTTCTTGTTTTCATGATAATTAGCATCTAGCACTGGTTCTCAGTACGTGAAAATAACCCCAAAGCAGTTGAAAAACAGAAATTAGTGAACCACAACACACCACGATCTGGTGGAACCGCGTCAGCAGTACCAAGGCAACGTGGATTTAGACAGCAACAGAAAGAAAAAGACAAATTGTACAACAACAACCCCCCTACCAAAATAAATAAATAAATAAAATAATAAAAGAAAAAAAAACGCAGAGATGTTTGAATGATTATATTTCCTGAATAAAATCTGCAGCACTGTTCTAGGGGATAAATGCATTCTTCAGACTCATGTTGTCTCGTATTTTAAAATTTTGCTGCCACTAAATGAAGACTTCATTTATTTTGATTTATTTCCAAAAGAAGCTATCTCTTCATGCGGGTTTACTTTTAAATCATAAATATGTGGGTATACATTATGGCCTCCATTAATGTGTATGTATTAGTTTTGGTGAGTGTGGGTTTTTACGTTCGCTTCAAGAACAAACCACCGATAACAAACCGGGTAGTAGCTTGCTATAATGTTTTAGAAATCTTTAAGTTATAGAAAATACCGGACAACACCAACGGATATGAATCCTGATATTAATAACCAAAGATTTTAATATGTATCGTGATATTATGTAATTATATAACGTACCTTTCCCTGCCACCAGTACGAGCGCAGCGGTCACGCAGAGAATCCACTTCATGTTCGAATCCCTCTCAGGAGCCATCCGTCATCTCTTATCTGTCCGCAGTGTCCAGTGGATTTAAATGTCTCCGATGTATAGAATATAGCAACAATCTGTAGATGATCAGATCTTCATCGTGGTCGCTAAAGCTGCTTGAGATTGTTTTTTACTGAACGATGTCTTCTGTTGCGTTGACTGGATCACTGCAGGAAAATTCCAACGCACAATAGACGGTGACAGTTAGAACATCTTCCTACGATTTTAAGCACCTCACAAATGGAAAGCACTGGAAGTGATGACAACCGTCGCCGTTCTTTAATATCTCCAGTGTCAATTCACTCCTTAACCATACTGTCGTAACGGTGATATACACATACCTAACGTCTCAACCTTCGACTAAACACCCCAAACACTGTGACAGTTTTGACTATTTTCTAAAATCCTCATTCGAATTTCCAAACTCAATCAAATTTCCCAGGTAACTCCCAACCCGCTAAATCTGCCACTGAGAGCAGCTTTCGTCTAAGCCGACGACGTCTTCAATATTGTATAGCTGACAGCGTGGCCGGGAACGATGGTATCTAATAGTACTTGATCCCTCACTGCATCGGCAATCGCGGCGGCATGAAGACGCATTACCGAAGGAGAAGCCAACCAAGGTTGCACTGATACCAACAGAGAGTATCGGTGCGACGCTGATGATCGATCAAGCTTTACATATATGCAAGTTATCAGTGCCTATGCATTAGCAGGTGTTGCCTCGGTGTGACCTTGTTTTGTTTTATGTAAGAAAACAAGCAGGTTGCCAGTTCTAGGAATTTAACAATATTGAAGACGTCGTTGTTTTGTCGTTTTTAAAAGAATTATGTATCAGCGCCTGCTGTCTTTAAGGTCTTCAGTAATGTGTTACAGCCTTTACGGTCTTCCACAATGTGTTTCAACAAGGGGAACACAATATTTTGAGATAGCGATGTCGTTTGAATCATCAGCACAGAAGCTTCAAATAATCAAATGTGCCAGTGGAATTTTAGCTGAGTAAATAGGTCATCTTGACATACTTTCTGTGGTACAATTTTTTTCATTTGACGCGATGACTCTTAGTACGATAGGTAATTTTTGTTTCAAAAACGGAACATAAACGGAATTTAAAAAAAAAAGATGAAAAGAGGATGACCCACATTCGCCATTGATCCGTCTGTTTAACAATAAACTCAAATGTACTGAAAGGTACTTTTCATTTAATAAGACCAAAGACATCCACTAAAGAGAAGACATTTAGCTTTAAGAACTGCAGTTTAACAACAAACTCAATAATAAGACGAAAGACATCCACTGAAGACTAGAAAAACCGAAGCTTCATTCTACACAGCTCTGGAATTCTCTCTTGTAGACGCAGGCCATTACGTGAAGACGCACTTGTCCGCGTCCGCAAATTAGAAGTAGTGTTCCATTATCAGTGGAAATGATATCTATTCGTACTAGCACAAATAAGCCACCGCCGAGGACCGATGGATCAATTAACACATTGAACCATATCACTTCATTTCTCATTTGTCTTCAGGGAGCATCGCTGGTAATTTTAATTGCCTTACATGAGAAAGAGAGACAGACTGAGAGAGATAGATTTCATTTCAGATGTAATAACAATGGTGTAATAGAAATGTTATAACTGTCGCACTCTCTTGAAATTTGAAAGCGGATTTCGCAGTTTATGCCAATTATTATTTATTAATTTGTGTCGACTCTGTTGCTCGATCCAACTGTTCTTGTGCGCTGTCATAAACATATTGAAAAGCGTCTAGTAATCAACAGACAAGTGCTTGAATAACCAACACCATTTTAAAAAGCCAACAGTGAGCTGTTGTACACGTATTTGTATCTGAAGCGACCAAAGTCAGTTCGGTAAATATGTTCGTGACCTGTTCTTTTGAAAAAGATGTCTGATAACCTCTAACGCTCTGTCGCTTGCTTGGTTCTCCAACACCTCGGAACTTCATTTCGATTTTCTCTACCACACGAACATCTCCCATTAGCGTCCCACTCGTATTCAACGTACATAAGGAAACGACTTGTTTGGCAATAGGGACGGCGTGGTGCTTCGCGGTTGATGTGTAACAACCTCTGATAACCCGATCACCTCGGCGAAGAAGTCCTTCGTGTTATTGAGTATAATGACAAGCATTGGATGGAATTGTCTGAAGCAGGGTCTTATTATGAAAGTCTGGAACACGCACCAAATACATCATTTGGGTGGAAATGTCTCTTAAATCGAAAATTGCCTCTGATGATTCAATGGAATTTCAATTAATGGCACCATCTGTGACACTGGGTTTGAGAAATGGAACTTAAAACTTGAAACATTTTTATCCACTAATATTGTTAAAGTAATATTTTAATTTGAAAAAAAAAAATCGTTTCGACAAGATACGTGATTTATTACATGTATGACTACCGCTCATGTGTTCACTAGTGTTATACAATTCATTAATGCTAAGCTCTACAAAACGTCTTATTTTTAAAAGGATGGAATACATTCTTTACTCCAAATATATGGAGGTGCACTGAAGACACGTTGTTTTAATTTTGTTCAACATTATACGTACGTAAGTTTTAAATTGTCCATCTTATGTGTAAATGGAATCAAGCCAAAGAAAATGTATTCCGCGTTCCTCGGTGTATAAAATCGCATGCTGAACGCGAAATCTCTACTGTTATCATGGATTTCTAGTCTGTATCTGAAAAAGTAAGAAGCTCAGCACATTATTACAAAAAAAAAAAAAAAAAAAAAAAGGGATTATATACCTGTTGCGCTGTCGGTAAAATAATTGGTGTGAGAAATGGTTAAGAAGGAAGTAAAAAAAAGCTTATTGGAGGTACCTTCTAACAAGGGCTCAGATTAATTACGTGTACTTTTCTCACAGGAGAGAAGCGTGTAATGGTTAAGCCAGGAACATATATATATTTGAATATCAAGTGAAACATCAAACTGTGGCCCTGTTGCAAAACAAAGATAATATTTCAAGTGTAGATTATTCATTCCCTTATGTTGTACAATCAAATTGATTTCCAAACCCTACAGTAACTGTTATACATGTATGACATACTATCCTAATAAAAAATTAACAAATGAAGGCATTTTATATTCCTCCATTTGGAAGTGAATTTTTCCTTTTTTGCAGAAGTCCTCGAGTCTAAATTACGAAATGATCAGATTTCCACTGCGATTTGCATTCCAACCGCTTGATACCTCACTTCACCCACGGCGGGGTCATACTTTCAAAATTTATAAACACAACACGGAAATCAGCCTAAGTTTCCTTTATTCGGGTGATCATAAATAATTTTTTAAAAATCAGCATTTCAGCAAGTCATCTTTCATGGACTACACGTTAAACATTAACAAACAACAAGCAATGTGGGTATCACAGAATTTGGTATTTTAACTAACAACCTCATTAGCACCCCCTGAACATAGTACATATATTCAAACCCAGCACTTATAACATGGTGGCTGCTAACAGGAGTTTTTAAATACAGTTTGATAACAATAAATATATATTTTCAATCCACAGTGGTCGTGTTTNGTTATTGAGTATAATGACAAGCATTGGATGGAATTGTCTGAAGCAGGGTCTTATTATGAAAGTCTGGAACACGCACCAAATACATCATTTGGGTGGAAATGTCTCTTAAATCGAAAATTGCCTCTGATGATTCAATGGAATTTCAATTAATGGCACCATCTGTGACACTGGGTTTGAGAAATGGGACTTAAAACTTGAAACATTTTATCCACTAATATTGTTAAAGTAATATTTTAATTTGAAAAAAAAAATCGTTTCGACAAGATACGTGACTTATTACATGTATGACTACCGCTCATGTGTTCACTAGTGTTATACAATTCATTAATGCTAAGCTCTACAAAACGTCTTATTTTTAAAAGGATGGAATACATTCTTTACTCCAAATATATGGAGGTGCACTGAAGACACGTTGTTTTAATTTTGTTCAACATTATACGTACATAAGTTTTAAATTGTGCATCTTATGTGTAAATGGAATCAAGCCAAAGAAAATGTATTCCGCGTTCCTCGGTGTATAAAATCGCATGCTGAACGCGAAATCTCTACTGTTATCATGGATTTCTAGTCTGTATCTGAAATAGTAAGAAGCTCAGCACATTATTACAAAAAAAAAAGGATTATATACCTGTTGCGCTGTCGGTAAAATAATTGGTGTGAGAAATGGTTAAGAAGGAAGTAAAAAAAGCTTATTGGAGGTACCTTCTAACAAGGGCTCAGATTAATTACGTGTACTTTTCTCACAGGAGAGAACCGTTTCATGGTTAAGCCAGGAACATATATATATTTGAATATCAAGTGAAACATCAACCTGTGGCCCTGTTGCAAAACAAAGATAATATTTCAAGTGTAGATTATTCATTCCCTTATGTTGTACAATCAAATTGATTTCCAAACCCTACAGTAACTGTTATACATGTATGACATACTATCCTAATAAAAAATTAACAAATGAAGGCATTTTATATTCCTCCATTTGGAAGTGAATTTTTCCTTTTTTGCAGAAGTCCTCGAGTCTAAATTACGAAATGATCAGATTTCCACTGCGATTTGCATTCCAACCGCTTGATACCTCACTTCACCCACGGCGGGGTCATACTTTCAAAATTTATAAACACAACACGGAAATCAGCCTAAGTTTCCTTTATTCGGGTGATCATAAATAATTTTTTAAAAATCAGCATTTCAGCAAGTCATCTTTCATGGACTACACGTTAAACATTAACAAACAACAAGCAATGTGGGTATCACAGAATTTGGTATTTTAACTAACAACCTCATTAGCACCCCCTGAACATAGTACATATATTCAAACCCAGCACTTATAACATGGTGGCTGCTAACAGGAGTTTTTAAATACAGTTTGATAACAATAAATATATATTTTCAATCCACAGTGGTCGTTTTTGTAATATACACATGGCTGAAATACACTACATTTTCAGAGAACTTTACCAATTCTCTCCTGACGATCTCACGTACTATGGTACGCTCACAAGTTGGCCCGCCCTATAATAGACGTCAAAGAAAAGGTGCATTTTCCAGATAAAAAATCCCGCCAAAAAATTTAGATAGCCTAATTAAATATGTTCTAACGTGAAATAAATTAACGAACACTTTTCCACCATTCAAAAGAGTAACTTGCAGCAAAGGCAACTCCACACACCTCCCGATATTTTTACGTTTTTTTTTTTAAACTGTAATTTTCATTGTTATTTTTTGTTTGTTTGTTTGTTTACCAATACTTTTCTGATGTAATCCTAATGCTTCTACCAAGACTAGAAAAGTTTTAGGAAATTTGAAAACTATTCCGTTGGTATCGTTGAATTCAAGTGTCAATGAATATAATACGTTTACATCCTTGGTCACAAGCTAACCATTAATACAAAACAGTCTAGATAATCACACTGTAGTAATTATAAACTAAATACTCCAGTGAACCACGCCATATGAACCATTTCCGAAATGTCCGTTCACAGTAACACTTACACCCAAATTATAGCCTGCTCAAGGTGTCATTTTTCTACATTTCCCATACTAAGTTTTTACAGTGGAAATTAAAATATCAAGGTGACATGGGCAATAAAATATAAGATAAATGATACAAAAAATCAATTCTGTTTAAATAATGAGAACAATGTCAGCATTAAACTACATTTTAAGTTTGTTTTTGTTCTGCTAGATAAATATCACTATAAGCAGGTTGACCTCCAATGTAATGAAAAAAATGTGCATATATATATATATATATATATATATATATATATATATATATATATATATATATAATCTGCCACTTAGTAATATCACCAAGATTTCTACTCCGATGCAATTCCACTCGTACAAACACAAAAACAAACAAGCATGTATGTGTGTGCTAGTGAGAGATTTTTGCATCTTCCCCTTTCTTAGTTGTCTAACGAGGATTGTGAAAACTTCGAAGCACTTCTGTGTGTGTGATTTTTGTGTACAATTTTGGTCACCACTGCTACTAAAGTCACTGCTGGCCATATCAATTTGTACTGTGCTTTGCATGCAAGTCTGTTTACAGTTTCCATAAACATGCATACTGGCCCGTATGTCTGCCTGTCTCTCGTGTATCTTGTGTGTGTATATATATACATATGTTAAGCCACCACTGCCTCTACACAGTCTCCCAAGGTGAGTCTATAGTTGGCTATCTCTGATATTCCATGATAGTGGACAAATGCCCCTGCCAGTACAAACATATGGAATATCTGGTGGCTTTGGAACTGGAAATAATAATAGGACAATGACATGAAAATTGTGTGGCATTTGTTGTTCTGAATCAAATAAGTGTGTTAATAAAATGCATAACGGGTGATTTTACAAAAAAATACATAAATAATCATTCATAAAAAGCTTCACACGTTTTCACTGAATGCAACGTCCAGTGGATAAATTTTTGCAGCAAACATAACCAAGGTCTCTTCTTTGAATCATAAAAGATACACTGAATCAATCAAAAAATCCTTTCCAATCACAATGCTATAATAAAATACAAAATAGTAAGAAAAAAACACCAAAATATTGAACAAAAAACTGAAAAAGGAAAATTACAAGATTAGTACAATAAAAAAAATTATATAAAAAACATACCTATAAAGCAAACAATAGTTATTATTTGAAAAAATACATTTGAGGAATTAGGTACTAACTTTACCTGGAAACCACAGGCATGGGGAATTTAAGTAAACACTTTTATTCAGAAATTATGGTAAAGAAAATACCAATATGACTCAGTCATTTCCTTTCCCCTTACTATGGAAATTAACTGATCAATATTGACGCTGATGTTTTCTGAACACAGACTTTGAATTGAACACTTACTCAGATGTCCTTTTTTTGTTAATTAACTTAATCTATTCGTTCATTTATTTATTGTTATTATTAATCTTATTTTTTTTGAGGGGGGGGGTGATATAAAGTTAGCCAATTCTATTCAAAGCTGGTCTCCATGTGGCATGATTTAACTCATTACTATATCCTTAACTTTAATCAACTGATGTTTGATCAAAATTAATCACATTGAGCCCCTGGCCAAATATTAGCAGGAAATTAAATTTTCTTTCAAGGAACTTTTTTTTTTCAAATTTCACGTGCCAACATGAGACCAGCCTCCTATGAAAACAAAAACACAACATTGCAACAACAAACAACAACCACTCCACCACCTGTAAGTCAGCAACTCGAGAGAAGCAATATTAGTATGACGAGGGTACAGCAGCAGTAGCAGCAGTAGCAGTAGCAGTAACAGCAGTAGCAGTGCAGTCTCCAGCCCCCAGCACATTGTGAGCCAGCTCCAGCATTCCGTAATAACTGAGCAGTGCGCCAAGCAGCACGCTACAGTGCATGATCTGATGGCTGTGAAACTGCAACAGAAACACACACCAAACACATGACACTGAGAAGCCTGGTAAGAGGGGGTGGGCAGGTGGTCGGGTGGGTAGGGGTGTTAGCACAAAGTATTAGGCTGAAGGTTGGGGGGTGGGGTGTTAGTACAGAGGGGTATATAAACAATCATTGCCCTACTGTCTTTACAGAGTGAAA